CTCAAGGATGGGAAGGAGAAGCAAAGGGGGGGGGTTGCAGTTTGGGGAAGAAAACCTCAGTTTCAACCGGATAACCTGTGCCCTGTCTAGACTAGGCATCCTTATCCTCATTAATTTTTGTTAGATTTTGTCCATTAGCTTTATTTATGGATTAGCGGCACTGCCTTAGGAGTTGTACATGCGGTTTCTGATGACTGCGGAGACTAATTTGGTGCTCTGCAAGGGACACAGTGTAATTCCTCTTGGAGCTTTAATTTCTGGAATATATGAAAGGTTGCTTTGTTGATTCTAAGCACTTAAGTACTGTGAGCTTATCCTCCCAGCATCACGAGAGCGTGATGGGAGTAATAGGTTGGGCCTTTTTCATATCTCCTGGGGTTTCAAGGCTTATAGGGTTGTGTTTCCTACCTTTTCTCTCTCCAGGGAGAAAACTGGAATTCCCACTAACATTAATTGGGTGGTTTTACCAACAGGACCATGTACATGGATATGGAGAACCTCGGAGGTGGTCCTTGCTTCCAGCACTTCTTGCTTGGGGTGGGTGTGCATCGAACTTGTGGGGCAGCCAAAGAGAAGCAGAGCCCTGCCCCTTGGATGCAGCCTTCAGCTGAGGCTCGGGGATGCTTAAAGGGATGCAGCTGCAAACTGTTTTATGTTAAGGCTTGCAGAAAATAATGTGTCAAGTAGTCGCAGCTGTTTGATGTTATTGGCTTGTTCTGCCTGCCTTTTTTTTTTTCCTCCTCTTCGCTGGTACTCACTGTCTCTAGTACTGATATAGCCCATGAAGTTCAGCACGTCGTTTGAAGAGGCCAGTTTTCATTGTAAGAGGACCGATGATTCCTCCTTCATCCACCCACATCTGAAGAGGCAGTTTCTATCAGCACGGCTCTTGTGTGCTCACATCTGCAAGGTACAAAGCTGATTTCTAATCTGATCGCTGTTGGTTCAAGGGATCAGCTCACACCCTTCCTGTCCCGAGAGGCTTCTGCTGCCGTCCTTCGTCTCTGACCCCTCCTGAAGCGCACAAGCAAGAGGCTGTGCAGACGTTAATGCTCCGTGCCCGCAGCATTTTGTGGTTGCTACTAAAAATAAAGAGAGTGAAATTAATTTCCTAATAATGGATGTGCTACTATCAGAAACACATCCCACTTGTACCTAACACCAGCAGGTTGTTTATGGCATATTTGCTGTGTCTAAAAATGCTCTCTTTTTTTTCTAGCAACCAATTTTATTTAAAGACTGTTTTCACACATCGGTGGCTGCTAATCAGTTAAGGAGTTATCAGTTTTTATATTAGGAAGAAAGAAGCAGATCTCATCAACATCTTAAAACTTTATTTAATTTCTTTTCAGCTGGCTTGAGGCAGATTATGGGGAATCTTAGGCTCCTCTTCTTTCTCCTCCTTTTCCCACCTCCTTGAAAAGAGAGAGAGTACCATTATGTGCGTGACTGTACTGTGCTAGTTCTGCGTATCCTTTCAAGAACTGTTGAAATAGAAATGCTGAGATAAAAATATAAGAAGTCTAAAATAAGATTTAATTAGAAATTAAACCCCAGACACCCATGTAATTTTAAATAAAGTCATGTATACTTCATGAAGAGATTATAAGGTTGACTGTCGGCAGAGGAATGGTAAGATAAAGACCAAAACCCAAGGTACGTGCAAGGTAAGCTCTTTGTGACCCTGTTCTGCTCTGATTTCAATTTCCAAAATATCTGAGACATTGTCGTTTTTTCTGCTACCGGTAGCACAGTACCAGCCCCCGCTTTTGGCTGTTGAACTCAGCCAAGACCGTGCCCATCCAGCTACTGTGATACCTGCTCTGCAGTAGGGAGGCATAAGATGCTCCTGGCTCAGCTTTCGTCTAACAGCATCCACTTCATCCCAGCATCCCTGTTTGTTAGAGGTTTGCTACTTGAACCATCTCTTGCCTGCTGTCCTCTCCTTTGTGTCGGGTACAAAGCAAACATAGGAAAGGGTACAGAGAAAAGCGTTCTAATAGATACTGGTTATGCCTGAAACACCCGTGCAGCTGTGGCAGCTTCTGCTCCTGAGCGTGGTGGTACACGTGTGGTTTCCATCAGGAGGGGTCCCCAAGCCCTTGGTCGCAAGAGGCTGGAAGGTTGTGCTGGGGGAACCCTGCAAATCACCCTCGGTCCTCTCCAGAGCATCTGCTGCAGGGGCATGGGTTTGGCATGCCACCACTAGCAGTGCTAATGCTTGCATTTATTTTTATTTTCTGTCCTCTCTTTTTTTTGCATATCTCACCTCATGTCCCTGAATTCTTTCTCTCTAACCGACACACGAGTATTTCACTTGGCACGCTCTTCTGCTGGCTCTTTGTTGTGAGGACTCGTGTTGAAATCTTCAGTGTCATTTAATGCCTTTGAATGTTCCTCCGGATACCTTTTGGATAGAGAAGGGACTTGCCTGACCCACGGGAGCCTGCAGATTATACAAAAATTGGTCCAGTTTGGTTTTATTTCACATCCGTGGTGAAAACATGGGTTATTGGCGTTGTGCATCTGTTGGCTCCGTAGTCGTTCATGAAAACCAAACATTCCCTTTGAGCTGAGCTATGTATCATACCGTCATTAACAAGCTGCACCTCGTTGAAAATCTGTCAAGGAAAACTGACTTATTTTGCATTTGCTGCTTTGCCCAAAATAGAAGCACGGTAAACTCTTGTGCTGTAATGATTTTCTGTCTGTCTTGATGGGACATAATGAGATAAATTCAAGTTCTTTTTTTGAAGGCTAATTACATTGAGTACACACTAGATGTGGGCTGCCCTCGTTATACGTTGTGCATTTTTGTGCTTTCATTTCCCCGTCTCTGTTGTCTACGTGTGCAAGTGAGTTTGATTTGGCTTTGAAATACAAATCTGTAGGCTAGAGAGGAGCTGTTTGGTGGTCTTCTCTCCCAGAAGACTCTCCAGAGATTGTAGAACAAGTCCTTGCTGTAGGTAGGGCAGCATTTGAAGGTGGTTGGGAAGTAAAGAAAAGAACTTAACTCTGTGCTAGAAACTGAGGAATGTGCCATAAAGCACGAGGACAGCTTGTGGCAAGTCCCCTGAGAGCCATCAAGAATAAATTCATCCCTAGGTCTGGTCAGCAATCCTGGTGTACGGACACAAAGCAGATGAACTGCGTCCTGCAGAGCTCGCAGCCTAGGTACGCAGCACGAGTGGGATGATGAGCAATTTTGGAAATTGGGTTTTTAAAACCTGTAAATCCCTCCAGTCCTACTAATTGTTCTCTGCCTGTCTTGTGGGAAGAGAAGGGAGCTGGGAGAAGGTGTGGGAGGGTGCCCAGTTTGAGGAGGTCAGCAGGGATGCTGGAGATGAGCATCCCTTAGAGTAGGATGGAGAGGCTGCAGATGCACGATGGAGACCTCCAGCCCGTGGTGGGCTCGGGACCTGCTGCCAGGGTTGCATGGTGCTTGCTACGAGAGCTTCGTGGTCCGGCAAGACTGGAGGTGGGGCCTGGGGGAGATCTGTTGGGTGCTCTTGGCTCATACCCCTTCTGATGCAGGAGTGCAAAGACTTACCGGTTGGCTCTAGGCATTAGGAGTTGATGTGCAAGCATCTCACCCTTGGTGAAGAAGCTATTTATGTAAAAAGGAAGATGTCGAGAGAGTTTTCTCCAGTAGTGCGGGAAGCAGAGCCAACTTTAGAGGCGGTTGTCCTAGTTGGTCCATCAGAGGAAAAGGGATCACTAGTAAAAGCCTATCCTTTATCTACGGTGAAGATGAAATCTGTCATCACTGGCCAAATTTTAGCACATGACCTTCGTGCTTTGATTGTCTGGGACGTTTCTGATGGGATAGTATTAATGCTTTTGCTGTGAGCTCCTTCTCTTTGCAAGCTTCCCAAGTTTGAAAGCAGATGGAAAGGCTCTGGGATTTCCAGGTAACTTTTGTAAGGCTGGTAGCAGACCTGTGCATCGTTGATGTCACGCTGGGCAGAATTATCGTAGAGCATCTCTGAAGGAAAAAAAAGTAGCAGCGCTTTGGAGCTGCTTTCTGGTTTTTGAGAAAAATCACGTTTTCCTCCTTTTGCTAACAGTGGGTTTGTAATTCTCCGTATAATGGTAGGATTACAGGGCCAGCTGGTTTTTTTTCCTAAAGCCGGGGTAGATCCGTGCAAATCTGTGGCTGTCACCACTTCTGGCTGAGCGCGCACACGCAGGTGAAGTGCAGAGTCCCTTGCTTAGGTGAAAAAACACTTGTTTCAGGAGACTGGAAACAAGATATTACTGTATTCAGTTCAAATTATTTTTTAAAAAAGGGAAAAAACCAATCTCAAGCTACCCTTAGCCATGTATTGTGAGAAGTTTTTGTGCCTCATCACACATACGTATTGGAGCTGGATGGAATATCTGGTACGGCGAGCGTGTCTGGTTCAGGCCATACCCAGAGCAGTCCATCTTACATGGAAAACTTTAAAATTCATCACAGGTTTGCAGAGGAAGAGACCCTAGGGAAGCAGCCTTGTCACAACGTCTTAAAGCTGTTGATCTTGAGATCCCCTCCACCACCGTGTTGCTATTTGTTTGCTGAGACATTGATTTCTGGGTGTAGAACATCTTAAACGAAAACCATGAGATGCATTTTACCCGTTTGTCTAAGACGGAATGAAAAAAAAAAACCCAAATACGATAATGTTTTCTAAAGGAGAGCCCAAAAGATGTTACCTCTAATGCATTCAACAAGGAGAAGAAATACCCAGCAAAGGCAGATGCTAGGGGAAAAAAATAATCAACAGCTTCTCATTCTCTTTTCATGCAGATATTTAAGTATGCGCTGTCTGTTAGTGACAATGGACTTTTAAAATATGCAAACCAAATAGCTTGTGAGTGTTTGTTTTCTAGCTGAAGATGTGTGGGGGTCTTTTGGGTTTTTTTGTTTTTGTTTTTGTTTTTTTTTTTTTTTTTAAAGGAAATGTGAAGAGATTAATTTTATGATGGGAGAGCTTAGCCTGTGGTTCTTCTTTTCACAGTATGCAGACCTGGGTTCTTCAAAGCTTCACCCCACAGTCCATCCTGCAGCAAATGTCCCCCTCACAGCTACACGCTTGATGAAGCATCCACATCTTGCCTGTGTGAAGAACACTATTTTAGGAAGGAATCAGACCCACCTACAATGGCCTGTACAAGTAAGCATGTGCTTATAGGGTTGTTTTTAATCCTTTCGAGCTGTTCCTGTACTATGACTAGACATTATGATCCTAATTAATGTGCTTTTACAGGCTCTGAGCTGGAGTCTGAACTAATCTTGACACATTTATAATGTCACTGGCTTTGTCCACCGTACCCCTGGTTACACGAGAACAGACTTTTTGAAGCCTTTTGCTTCAAAAGCTGGCATTAAACCCAGAAATCGTTTTTGTAATGAACGGATACTCCATCTCTCACCGTCCGCTCATGGGCGGACTCAACCAGCACCGTGGCGTTCAGACATCCGCATCGGTGCGTGCGTGGGTACCGGCGCGGGGCACGCAGGCGGAGGAGACGATGGGTAGGGCTTGTAGGTAGGCATGGATAGAGTCTATGTGGTCCTGCGTAGTATTGTCTCGTAGCCCGTTTTCGGTGAACGAGCAGGGAGAGAGCCCTACCTTTCCAATCTACTTGGAGATGATCGTTCTTCAGGGTAGCCTCAAAACTCTGTGGTGGAAACCGCTTCTCCAAACCTGCAGCCAAAATGTGGAGCTTATCCCCTTGGTGCAGGGGGAGGGTATATAACGAGCAAATTGGGGTATTGGGAGTCCAAGGGGGAGTCGGCGGAATCAGAATCACTAATTTTGCCTTTTTCCTGCCATCTGTAAGCTATCCTGTCAGCTGTACCTTGAAAGTTTCTTGTTCGGTTTATATTTCAGATACTTAGGGCCCCAGTTTGCCTGCCCCCAGCTAGTCCCACCGAGTGTAGCACAGACCGCAGGTTTTTACCGAGCTGGGTCTGTCATGCTCCAAATGTGATTTTTTTGCCGTGCAAAAACAGTTAAAAAGGACCGAAGAGGAGCTGAACTACTGGGGCAGGAGCAGATAGAGCTTCCAAGGAACTTGAGCATTGGAGGAAAAAGTAGGTTTATGAGTCCACGCACGCTCGGAGCCACTGGGCAACGGTGCGGAGGTGACTTCCATACTGTTTCCTTGCATCACGCGGGCATGGTAAGGGCTTTTTGTGCCTTCATCCCAGTGAATACAGATGTCCTTCCTAGCTTCCCGAGTTTGCACTTCAAAAAGAGCCAGAAAAAGTCTGTTCCTGTTGGAGGGACGCTCTCGCAAAAGAAGTGGCCCTCGGCAGGTCTCTGCTTGCCCGCAGGAGGCACTCGTAGAAGGATCGGGGTTCTTGAACTCTGCGTTGGCTTTTCCCCAGCCGAAGGAGGGTGAAGGAGGTGGCTGTTGGAAGGTTTGGAAGGTGTGCTGCAGGGAAGGAGAAGACGGCCTTAGGCAGCGGGACGGTAGCTGATGCTGTTGGATCAAAGTGGTCTGGGAGGGGGGCGAGTTGTGTAAGCACTTATCAATTTTTTAAATAGATATACCACTGTCCTTTGGAGTGGTGGCTAGGGTGGGATACGACATGAAAAACTTTGATTCCAGGACTTCTTGATGTCCATTTTGCCCTTTGCCCTGACTTAAAAACCAAAGATAAATGAGAGATGATGAGGTCCAGCGTGGCATTGGGAAACGGGAAGGGAGAGAAGTACTCTGGGCTCTGGAAACGTACATAAAATGGGCTTTTTTTGCGCAGGCAGAGCCAAAGGCAGGGACTGATAACAGGTGCCCGCATCATCTCCTGCACACCAGCGATGCTGTTGCTCTCTGTCCCTTCTCGGGATGGAGGGGGACGCATCCAGTCTGCCCTGCTGGTGAATTAGCCCAGGGAAGGAGCTGCCGTCCCCGAGGAAGAGGTTTACGCATGCCTGCAACCTGAGCGTAGGGCAGGATTTTCAGAGAGGCACAAACAGACTTGGTGATCAGCTCATGTTAAAAAGAAATGAAATTCGAGTGCCTCTCTCCCCCAGGTTTCTCGTGCAATTTGAATCCTGTAGGTAAAGACGGTGATTTCTGATTTGGCAAATACCACGGGATTTTCTTTTTGTGTGTGTTTGGTTTTTTTATGCTTATTTGGTTTTTGTTTAAAAAGTTTGTTTGGGGGTTTTAATATTTGGGTGGCTTTGTTTCAGGCTTTTGTTTTGTTTTGAAAGCTTCCTATAAGCTAGTTTAAAGCATAGGCGTGGTGCCTGAAGCTCTATTAGGATATGGCTTGGCAGGGTACCGAGCGCTTTTGGGCTGGATGAGAGATGTAATGCTGACCATCACCAAGGCACTGCTCAACTTCTGTTGCTGATTGCAAACCCCGGTGCAAGCAATTGGGGATGTTGCAGCATCTCTGCTGGCATTCACGCTTCCTACCCCAAAAAGCAGAGTGGGTCATCTGAGCCTTCTCCGGGTGCTCCAGTCACCCTGGCTTGCTCTACGCATCCTTTCTTGGGATTTGATCCTAATCCAGCTATATTTGAGCTGAAGGGGATGAGGAGAGCCCATGCGCTACCCCAGCTCAGGTGCAGGAGTGGTACATTTTATCGGGGACAATAAAGAGTAGGTAGCAACGGTAATGTTTTAAACCGGTCCAGTTAAATCTGGAAGGGAACAACTCATCATGAACTGAAACACAAGTGAGACAAACTTGAGTCGTGACTGGTAGGAAAATACTGCAAGTGTTTTTGTATGGTTTGATTATTTATTACCACAGAAGTAATAGTATTCATAGGATTCCCTCAACTTGAAATCTAGTTAATTTTAGAGAATACATCAATGTCCGTTTTCAGGACTACACCTGCAAGGTTCCCTTGCCAGTCACATTTTCTTAATTTAGAGTGAACGTTTTTCAGTCTCAAGCTGCGTGAGTCTCCCCACCACCACCAGCATCACTAAAGAAAACTGCTACACCACCGTCAACTGCTTGGTTAAGTACAGTGAGAGGGGCTGAAATACGACGGGTTTATTTAATGCTTCCATGTCCTTCAACATGTTTTATAAGTAATGATTGGTAATTTTGAACTTAATAATACTGTGATGCAGTCTGAAATAATTATTGCCCTCAGACAAAAAAAATATCTTTGGTTCTGATGGGCATTTGAGAATTCTCTTTAATATTATTTTGTATTTTCCATGAAGCAATTGTGCTTTATTTCTTCTTAACTAAGTAATCCTAGCGTCAGTTTCTTGCGCAACATCTCTTTAAAATGAAAACAGTTACACCCTTTTTTTCCTCCTCCCATCTCTGACAAGTAACCCTATTGCTGTTCAGAGCATATTGGGGAAATACTTTTAATAGTATGACACCTGGGACCAACTGAAGATTTTGTAGTATTTAGTATAATATTCTACTCACAAAAAGTTTACAGTTAACTTTGAGTAGTGTATATATATAAAACATATATATATACATA